GTAAGCACTTTATGAATGAAATCTTTTCACAGTAATTGCTGGGCTTTCTTACTTGTTCTTATGGAAGTCTTGCTGGCACCAGTTCGTTTTACAACCGCGTGACGTCACATCAACGCCAGCCGACTAATGCATTATTAAGAGTAATCGGGAGCTGCTCCAGTACTTTCTAAGGGACGCAGCGGTAGGAGACGAAGTATTCGAAACTGCCAGTAAAGGTGGAGCTTAAAAGTGATAAAGTATCACGTGCTATCCCTACCTTACACGCGTATAGTACCTACTCCGTTTTCAGTCATTTCATTTCAATGTGACATTGATAAGACAATTGAATAAGGAATTATTTACACATAATGTAGGTACTTACTCGATTTATTTCTTGTATTTCATACTGTCCCGTTACCCGTAGATGTTCGATTACTATCAATTTAAGTCCGTAAGTTAAGTGTCGCTAAGGAACACTTACCGGACTGTTATTTATACACCAAATTTGACAACTTCAAACAATTAATTAAAAACCCCAACATAAATTTGACCATAATTATTTATTTGGAACGTAAAAGAACAATTTGTGGTTCCCGCACCACTAACGCCTGGGTTATTACTAGATATCGAGTTAGAGTTTGATTCCCTCTGAGGCTCTGCTGTATATAGAGAACTGCAATGAAATTTTCGCCATGAATTGATTTATTGGAAAGCGGGATCGAAAGATCACCTTTGAAACTCGATCAGGGTAAACGCATGTTTTGAGATCCATAAAATACCTCCAAACCCTACCCACACCTAACCCTTAAAAAACCCTTAAAGGGTTGAAAATGCCTATTGTTGTTTTTTGGGAATATGTATCTTTAAATCAAAGCTAGTTAGGGAAAAATATGAAGATAGAAAAATTAAAGCATATATAGGTATATATTTTCCTATAAAACCTACCTATATATTTTCCTGTACCAGTGGCGGAGTTATGATATTAATTTTGGTTATTTTTAAAAAGACTTTAATTATTTAATTTCTGATTGAAATTTTTAAAAAATTTTTAGTTCTTTAAGTCACTATGCCAAACAAAATTTATATATGTTACGGCCAGGAAATTGATAACCAAATAGTCACGGATATTTAAAAATTTCAACATAAATTAGGACCTCTAAAAATGTTATTTTTGCCATGCACGCCATTTCTGAATGCGGCGCCACATCTGGGCTTTTCAACATAGGAAATATTATTTTGTTTATACTGTAGACCAGGAAGAAATATAACAAATGCCAGATTAAGGACCTTGACGTTCTCAACCAGCAATATGTAGTACAGCAAAATTTAAAATAAGGATTCTAATTTAGCATAGCTTTCACCGACTGTAAAGGCAGCTCAGTACCAATTACGAGACCAATTACCATGCGTTTAGGACTTTTTAACAAGATTTTCTTTGAAAAGATTAATTATTATTAAAAAGCTCCTAGCGAGTTCAGAATTTTGGACTTTCTGTCCGTCCGCCCGTCCATATGTGGGCAAGATAACTCCCGAACGGTTTCGAATTTTTCAATTCTGTTTTCATTATTTTGTTTATCATCACCCAAGGAAAAGATGTTTATAGTGATCCAGGAGCTCGTTTGCTATATTTGTTACAAGTTTATTCTTATTTGACTATATCGCTTCAATTCATCTGTATAGGTAGTTTCATTATACTTTCTTTACAAAGGCCTCACAGCTGGAAAGTAATGCTGACCCGGATGATTTTTATTTTTAGGTTCAAATATGGTTGAATAATAACTTACCAGTCCAGGAGTGGACCAAGACATGGACCCCGAAGGGATTCTAAAGCAAATTTTTTGCAACTGTTCGTCAGGCGTTTGCAAAAAAGCATGCTTGTGGCGAAAAATTCGTGTAAATTGTACCCTAGCTTGTAGAATTGTAGACAGTTAAAGATTCTGACGAATTAATAATTTAATATACAGAAATATCTAATCAGGTAACTAATTAAAAACTTATGCTATGCTAAGTATTCATTTGCCTAAACGGGACTTATTTTAGTTTAACTACCTCAAAATAAGTTACCCTACCGCACTGCATAGATACCTACTGACTACAATATATTATCGTTTTAATGTACATATTTAAAAATGGATGACTTAAAAAAATTAGTACTTACGCCACTGTTATGATTTTTTATTTCATGAAAATAGGCACGAGATGAATGTTTTTACCTAAATATTTTTGAGAAATTTCTCTAGAAAAATAAAATAAATACCTATATACGCTTTCATTCGTCTATCTTCACATTCTTTTGCAAATAGCGTTGTTTTCAAGATATTGACAAAAGACTAAAAAAAAGTCCGATTTTCATCCCTTTCAAGGACTGTTTGGAGGTGACAGACACGGCTGTTCACTTATGGGGTTTGGTGGGATTTTAAGGACTCCAAAATCAACTTATTTACCAAATTTCAGCTTGTCACTAATTTGTTCACGGTTAGACTGGGTCGACCCTGACGCTTTATAGTGTAATCGGGGTTGGAAACTAATGGAAAGTTTCCACAATTTTTAACATAAAAAGAGAGATGTATGACAGATTCCCACATCAAATTTAAAAACAATTAATTTCTCTACAAAATGATATTTACCTCGAGCTAAAGTGCAACTATCAGTGTTCGAAGCATTGTGTGTGAATTTTCAATCGTTTTTAATAAATTTACAATATTAGCGGTCATTTTTGGAGATCCATTTTTTGGTATATTAATCAGCAGAATATCTACTCAGTTATTTTTTGATTGACAGAAATAAACCAACGATAAATTTCGAATAATTTCAATGCTACTTTGTTTTGAGGTACAACAATTTTATCGTTGGACGGAATTGCCTCACATTTGTGTCCCATGTAATAATTGCCTAGGACGCAAATGAAGCGAGCGAAAGGTTTCCGACACATAATCACAGTTAAAAGATAAGAATATTTCCTTGCATTTTTAGCACCTCCCATGAATGCATTTGTCTCACAAGTTTCTCTGTCTATAGAAAAGTTCGGTAATTTGCCGTAATGTGACGCTAAGATACAGAGTTAAATATTGGCAAAACAGTGCTTCCGTTCTCCCCATAAAATTACAAAAACTGACTGTTTTTTTAATGATCTTTTTCAATATACTAATAAATAAAGAGCTAATGTATGCCTCTCTAATAGTAAAATTTTCATTTTTTGCTTTTTTAAGAAGAAATTGATCATTAAAAATCACTAAAATGTCGCAACTTTAACGCCGTATATTTTGTTTTTTTCGCTTGTTTTTAAAAAAATGGCATTAGAGAAGCACGGCGGCATTCTTGATGAATCGATATCAATCAACACATCAGTAAAATACCTTTGTCATACCTTAAATTTATAGGGACAACGTAAAGATGTTTATGCAGTTAATATACGGAGTCCTGATGCCTCTTAATACGTAATAGCAGACCATACTCTTATTAGGCCATGATGACGCCCATAAGAAATAAGAAAGTAGTCTGTATCTTCTTCACGGAGCATGTTATAGAAATTCTGATAACAGGTTCAGATTCTCCGAAAAAAGTGCCCATACAAGGGATAATGAAAACGAAAGTTGATATTATCAGTTCTGTTATTTTTTCAATTTTTTAGTAAAAAAAAAAAGTGGAAACTTTGCCCCCATTTAAAGTACACTGTAGGTATCTCTTACCGTTCCCGAGATCGCAATGGTGAATCACGAATTTCAACCACCCTATACATAAAATTAAGATTGAAAAATTACATAACAACTTACAACATATCTACCATTACCACAATAACAATTTGGTATTTGTTATTACATCAAATACTTCTCCTCCACCTACTTTTCATGCAATTCTTTTTTAACCGAGTGTTAAATCAATAGTTAGCAGGTTTCCTAATTAAGCATATTTATTAAGGAACATGCCATTTCGCTGTCTTCTATTTCTATGGTGGAAAGTAATTTGACCTAAAATGACAATACAGCACACAAATTACAAACAAAAATAACACCACAACAGTCAATAAGCTTTTCTGTTTACAATTTAACATCAAAAGGTATAGAAATTGGAATTGAATAATACAGATTTTGTTTTTGCAATGGTTGGCCACTAAGGGACAGTTGCGCAAAAGTTAAAGAAATATAAGAAAAATAGAATTAGGAATTAGTTAAGATTGTAGGCACAAGATGGTTACAGCTGTTTCAAAAAATGTGGCATCGTTTATCTACAAATAAGTTATGGAAATGTCGTAACGTGTTGACAGATTTTGTATCTATAAGAAAAGGTGGCAAAAAAGTAATATTTTATTCATTTCGTACCTATCACAATAAACATTAATTACTTAGTGTTAAAAGAATGTTTGACAATTCACATCAATTATTCAAGAAGTACAGTAGTAAAATTATCTAAATGTTTAACTCCTTTTGTGGCATTATTTGGTTTTCATACAAACTCTAGTTGCAATAGGAGATGGCATAAAAAATGTGTTTTAAACTCATACAAATTACAATGTATTTTCAATTAGAACTACAGTTTTTCAGTTGAATATGATAAAACAAACTATATCACAATATGTATAGGTATTTGCTGTGGAGATTTTATAAAAATCTTAGGTGTGAAACCTCGTGTGAAACACATCCTATTCTGGGACAACGAACATCAATTATTACATGTAACTGGAGGGATTTAGCATGAATTCATGAGTGGATAAGGTAATACTATATATAACTTTTGCGCAATCAATCCTTGCAGTTTCTGTCAGTTATTATGTACTTAGTTACTGTTATTTTCATACACAAGAGAAATACCAAATTGCAAGATTAAAATAGTACCTACATTCAATCATCAATGATTTTAAAATTTTTGCCCTTTCCAGCACCCAAAACCACTATCTATAAGGTAAAGTCCTGTAGTTATTTGTGAATACCTTTTTTTTTATTGGGAGATGGAAAGTGTATCACAGTATTTTTTCAAATCATCGTAATGATGATAACCTTGTAAAAAATGTGAACAACACTTACTATTTGGCAGAATCTGTCAACTGATATTCACGGCGTCGATCGTAACATTCTTGTATGCCTCCATCGCTCCACAAATCCTTGATGGCATCAACATAGGGGTTTTCAAATGTGGTAACAGTTTCGTAGTCAATCCCACGAATCAAATCGGCTTTTTCCTATAGAAAAGGTACCAAAGTAAGTTACAAAGTAATGAATAAACGTAAAGATACATACACTGCTAGAAGATTCTATGTATTGAATTTTCAACAAATCCATAGCGCGAATCATACTTTGCATGGCCATAAAAATATTTTGGAACACAAGCTTAATAAATCCTCTTTTATCTTCATCTGAATAACCGGCCCCATGAATAATTCGCATCTGTTTGATAAATGTTGATTTTCCCGATTCTCCTGTGCCTGTAATAAATAAGTCGAATTACAAAGATTGCTTATTAAATAAATAATTTCAAATAGCCAGTTGATGATCAAAAACGGTGAAGGTGAATCAATTATGCTAAGCCTGTTTTAATATTCAATTTTGTACCCGCAAAATCATAAGGAAATGATTACGGAATGTAAAACATCGGCCTAATAAATGACAATGAAATAAAAATCAAATATTCTTTTATCTCATGAATAAAACAAGTGCACATGTGACAAAGATCATAATGAATTGGTCAGTATTTTGTATAACATATCATGTGCGCTATCATTAAAAAGATTGAAACCATCAAACAACGCCAAAATTTGTTACAGCAGCTTAATCAACAAGAGAGAGCAAAATAGAAAAAGCATATAACTTAGTTCCTGTGCTTCAAGGCAATTTTGTTTTACTTTTTCACCAACGAAATTGGTGTTGAATAAAATCAAGAGTTTGCTAACATTTCGCCACCATTTCGAACATACTTTCCGAGATATTTTCAGAAGTTGTTTCTCACTTCATGACAAGATCTATATTCTATCAAAGTAGCTAAGATCTTGTTTCACATGGACGGACAAACTCTCTAGAAGTAAATCAATTTCTTTACAAAAGAATTGGTGGTCAACAACTAATACTTTAGCATGTTGGTAAGCATTTGGCGACAGAAATGCTCAACATTTCTAATAAATATACCAACTTGTAGGGGGAACGGGTAATTTTGTGGTGACGATAAAATTCTTGTTCATTATTTAATGATATGATCTAGAATATTTGATATTGTTGGGATACAAAACAAATGCGCATTATGTTTGTATACTGTGTCTGTGTCAGGTACAGGTTGTCTCATTTGTGACATTTTTCTAGGGTCATTGTAGGCAATATATGCGCCATGTGCACCTTTTGGGTTCACTTAAAATTGACAACAATTGAGATTTGTGAATATTCGCTTGTTTAAGAGAAATGGGGGAAAACGAGGGGAAAATAAAGAAATTGTGAATTTCAGAATAACCTATATTTTCTTAGTTAGAAGAGATACAGAAAAATGTGTATCACAAAAGTTTCCTTACATTGATTGAATAATCTGCAAGTATAAGTACGAGATCAGGTTGATCAAAAAGATAAGATATGTATTCTCTTTTCAAAACTATAACACACCAGGAATGATATTGAAAAGATTCCATTGATTCAAAAAATTCAAAAAGATTCAAAAATATTAAAAACAGTTTAAGAAAAATTAAAAAAAAAGATTCAAATGAAAAAAATATACAGGTATACCTCTAAGTATACATTCTTTAATTTTGCTGAAATAATTTTTTAATCTTTTTAAGTGAATAATGATTTTTTAAATTTTTAGTCTTATAAGTATTTTTCGAGGTATTTTTAAAGTGAATTTAATAGGCTCTTTTTAGATAATAATAATAATAATAATATTTATTCATGTGCTGTGATGCCACTTACAATCGTCAATATACATCTGTATAAATACAAGTAATATATTATTCTAAATAGCGTAAGTCATAATTAAAGAACTCATCGTACGAATAAAAAACTTTACCAATAAGGAAAATTTTTATCTTTATAAATTATATATATGATAGTGACTTTACATTAAGGGGAATGAAATTATACATGTTTTTAATAACAATATCGGTACTGTTCTGAGTTTTAACTAGAAGACAAAAGGACGTGATCTTTATTACGAGTATCATACTGATGAATATCACAGTGTTTAATAAAGCGAACTTCATTACGTTTTGCATTACATAAACAATTATAAATAAATAAACAAGCCAGTGTTAAAATTTTATGTTGTATAAAAACATGTCGACAGTCTTCTCTGTACCCAAGCCGAGAAATAATTCTTACTGCTTTTCGTTGTATTTTAAATAACGGTTTCCAACAGGGGTAGTAACCCCAGGCAATAATGGAATAAGCTAAATGACTTTGTACTAGAGCAAAATACGCGGTTCGCAAAATTGGTGGGGGTAACATTGCTTGATAATCTGCGCAATACAAACAGATTGATGCATATCTTTGCGCTAATATAGTCAGCATCGAGGTCAGCATGCACATTAAAATTCAATTTGGGGTCGATAAGTACATAAGTATCCCAATATCGACTTAAATTGTTAATATGTTGTTGTTATTTGCGACTTTTTCAACTAATTACATGCAAAATTACTCGCAAAATTAGATGGCCAATTTTCATATGAGTATAACTTTTGTTTGATAAGTGATTTTCTGTTCGACAAATTTGTTCCTTCACTCATCAAGTATTATGTCCACAACAAATTTTGTAGAATTCTATTTTAGTCCGGGAAAATTTGTAGTGGATTTTTTTTCGAATTCTCGAAAACTTAATTTCAGGTTCATCATTTTCATGTCCAAAAAGCCCCACATAACAAATTTCGTCCTTTTTTGATCGCCCGTTAGAAGAATAGAACTTCTACCTAGGTTGATGGGTAGGCCCTTCCTGATTTTCTAAAAATAAGGAATCCAAAGAATTTGAAAAGTCAAGAAAAAACATTCCAACTGTAGTTCTTGATTGGACCACACAAATGGGCAGAAATTTTATGAAGTTTGATCAGTGTATGTCCGCACCCACTTCTGCGGTTTTGAACTAAGTACATACATAGGAGTAGTGTCAGAGTCCTGGTTTTTTTTCAATAGGTAGCCTATCTTGAAGGTGTGCCAGAGGTCGATCAAATTTCGTTGGGGGGGGGGGGTTGTATTGCATAATATCACGAAATGTTGTTTTTTGAGAGTAAACCGTGCATCATAACTGCGGGACTGATTTTATCCTTCATGGTGCCCTAATAAAAGATCTCAACGAAAGAAATTAATTTCTACCACCCATAGTCCTCCTTTTCCTTATACATATCTCAAGAGCAGATTGTCGGAGGAGAGTTCTCATTATCACAATATGTTAAATAAATCGTCTGGGCGAGACGTATGTATTCGTGAAGTCGATGCAAATATCTTGAAAACGAAATGTCGGAAGGCGGCACTCATAAAGAGCAAGTAGAAGGTATGCACCAGGCACATCTTTTTATCTGCACAAGAGTTTTGCACGATTTATATGTTTCATTCTATCGCCGAAATAACCCGAGTCACCTTAAGAATATTCCAATATATGAGTTCGCCTCGCTAAAGGGTAAATCTAATGTACACGCAACGCAGTTTTCAGCGCATTTTTGCACATTTATTTGTAAAAAGGTAGCTTTTAATCTTATTGTGACCGGCTGGCTGGCTGGCAGCAAATGCGGGCCCGTAGAAGAAAGCTTGTAGAAAGACGATTGTTTTCAAATTGGTGTCGTCGGAAAGATCCCGCACAACTCCTGCGTGACGGAATTTTGTTGTTTTTCTAGGGGGGTAGTTAGCCACCTTTTGCAAAGAGCGTGTAACGACTTTGGACGTCCAAAAGTTTCTTAATAGCTCGAATCGCGGTCTCTCTTTCTTGTGTGATATGAGAAGTACCCCAAAACTTGAGTACTATTTTATGAAGGATTTTTTAGCGAGATCCACCTAAATGTGAATTGCAGACGAATGGGACGTTCCAAGTGGGTACCGACAAAGGGAATGTGATTGCCCCCGACGAGTTATTACTGGTGGTGGAGACAAGACTTCAAACGCGAATTGCGGATGAACATGACCAGAGTTGGACTGGGTCACTGGGTCAACTGGGTCACTAAATTAAACTGGGTCACTGGGTCGCTGGGTCACGTCATACTCTTTTCAGTTAGACCCAGTGACCCAGTTGACCCAGTGACCCAGTTTGACTCAGTGACCCAGTTTGACCCAGTGACCCAGTTTGACCCAGCGATTCTGTGATGTTTGCTTTAATACTGCCGTAAAAAACTTTCCATGTACCGAATTGTATTAGAATAATGTTATTTCTTTGCTTCAGGGCTTACCAGTTTGCTTACAGGTGTTCATTCACATTTAATTTTTTTCTACTAGTTAGCTTAATCCAAATAAATCTTTTCTCTAAATACTTTCATTGACTACTTGACTACAAACTATAAACAAATGCATTTGATTTTTTTAGGTATTAGTTTTCTTGAATGAAATTGGGCTACGTGCTTGTTGCCGAATATTATTGAGGAAGCTTTTTTTAAAATTAAAAGTTACTTGAAATTGTTTTGGATGATACCTAACAATAATTTAATTACTGGGCCACCGGGTCAGGACGGGTCACTGAGTAAAGCTGGGTCAAGCTGGGTCACCGGGTCAAGCTGGGTCACCGGGTCAAACTGGGTCAAGCTGGGTCACCGGATCAAGCTGGGTCACTGGGTCAAACTGGGTCACCGGGTCAAGCTGGGTCACTGGGTCAAACTGGGTCACCGGGTCAAGCTGGGTCACCGGGTCAAACTGGGTCACCGGGTCAACTGGGTCACCGGGTCACCGGGTCAGTAAACTAACTGGGTCACCGGGTCACTCTATGCTTGACCCAGTCCAACTCTGAACATGACGTCGGAAGCGGGTAACGACAAATGGAATGCCCCCGACAAGATGTTATTGATGGTGGAGTCAAAACTGGATAATAGAATGCTGGTCTGCCACACAAAAATGCGTTAATGTCCCTTTGATCCCACACGACGACTTTGGATAACTTTTTTAGTATAACGCGTTTCTAGAAGTTCATTGAATATTACAGTGAGATATTCGATTGCGACTTTTCGTTTTTGTGATCCAATCCAGTTTTTGGTTTAGCACTATATCGCCGTATTGATCATGAAAGAACCAATTGGACAAATGACTGAAACTATTGGCGACAATTATTTAAATAAAAACAGCAATTAGATAGCGACAGAGAAAGAAAAAATGGCAATATAAGATTAACTAATCGTTCGGGGAGCTTGTTAATTTAAACAATACAGGAAATAAATATTTTCTTAATGATCCAGATAACAATATGTGTGTTTCGTTAGAAACTAATAACCTCACAAACCTTATAAGTACTTATTTAGTTAAAAATCAGTTCCAATTTGTATTA